ATATTGCAAGCTTCCAAAACAAATAAATATCCAATTCTTGGAGCAAGGGATTTTTTGAACTAGTCATTGTTTCACTAACCTCTTTCTTTCCGTTGAGTGGACACATCTCGAATAGCAGTAAATATTTCTGGGGTAAATATGTACACGCCACAATTGATACGGTCACTGACCTGTTCTAGGAAAAAATTAAAAAATAAAAAAATAAAACTCAATGGCAATTGTGAACATCATAAAACCAGATATTAGTTCAATGGCCATAAATATTACGTACAAAAGTTTCAGGTTTCTCAGCATAATGCAAGAGCTCATTTGAAACAGGATCAGCCACAAGTTCACCAAACTGATGAGCAGACTCGGGAGAAACCTGCAAAATGAGCTCATTAGAGTTATGAGATTGATTTAAAATAAAGTGATGGGATGTAAAGTTAACCAACCTTGATCACCAAAATTGTTCCAATCCCACCATAGCTTTTGTGGGCCTCTGCAAAGTAATCCACGAACCAAAAGTTCAATAACTGAAAAAGGCCATGAAATATTTAACAGCAATAGACCATTAACTGTTAAGGTCTAAAGTTCACGTGCAATATATATTTGGAAAAAACAATTAGTACGATAATTACCGAGCATCTCAGGGAGTGGAAAGCTGCTGCAAACATCACAGTTCAGTAGCACAATATGTGACTGCCAGGTAATACATGAGCAGTTTTATTTTTCTAGATATTCTTTTATATTTAAATAAAATATATTATAAAGTTAATGGGAATAGATAGAGTAAGAACCGGATTGTCTTCCATGATATAATCCCTGAAGTTGTAGAGTCCACCAGCTGAACCATGTGGTTTTTCCTCTTTCAAATATCTAATTAAAGAAAAATTTGACAACCATTATCAAACAAGCATTGCTCCAACTATAAAAATAGACCTATATAAAGGGCAAATTCTCCCATAAAGTGCAGTAAGTACCTGACGGGCAGTCTAAGCTCATTTGAAATAGACGACACAAACAATGCAAACTCGCGCTCCTCATAAAAACCAATAAGATAGATCTGCGCTAGATTTGGGATCTTGAAACAAAAACATAATAAACTCCACATCATCAAAAACCCACACTCACACTCTTACAAAAAAAATAAATTAACCGATGATTCCAAAATGTAGATAGATAATGCACTCAATTTTTCCCCAATCTAGCTACTGTAAAGTGAAGGAAACATTGTATACCCGTTTGCAAGCCGAGATAGGATGATGAACCATAGGTTGTCCAGCAAGGGGAAAAAGCGGCTTTGGAATATTCAAAGACAATGGCCTGAATCTAGTCCCTGCTGCATACCCAATACATAGTTAAACCAATACAACTATACAATGTCTCACTGATACCTTAAAGATCAAAACTTTTGCAGCAAAACAGTAACATAAAAAGAACCATAACTAAAATATTCTAACAGTTCCCACATACCTCACCTAGGCACGTATAACACTGGTCATAACCCAACTACCAAATGCATACAAAAGACCCAACATTTGCTCCAACAAAATCAAGATCTCATGAACATTAAAGACAACAAATAACAAAAATTTCAAGAAACAGCTAGAACTGTACATATGTTTTACTAAAATTCGAAAAGATAAAATAGAAAGATCATACCTTTAGTGGGCCCACCCACCATGATCACAGCAACAACTCTCTCTTCTGAGCTCCCCATTGACAACACTAACAAAACCCAGATCTTAAAGAACTCTTTTCCAAACACCTTTCTCACTATTGTAAGTGGCTAAGCTTAATCATAGCATAAATCCCAATTCAGGTGTAGAAAAAATGAGAAAGAAATAAAGGATTAAAGAATTCTTGCGGCGCATAACACGGCAGAGACTGACCTATTTATAAATAAACAGTGTACATTAGATACTATGAAAGATCTAACCACAGAGGGGATTATTCGATTTTTGAAGGGATTCACATGCAGTGAGATGTGTGGGGATACTTTCTCATGTAATTGTAGGGCCGAAAGATTGAATCCAATCCCAGAAATTGATGGAAATTTTAATCAATGTCTTGTTAGTAGTACACAGTTTTCAGTTAAACCACCAAATTAATAGGTGAGATTTTTTAATTTGTAAATGTGTTTTACTTGATAAGAGTTTAAGTAAAAGTTAATTTAAAAATATTTATTCTTGTGAAAATATTCAGATAATTACAAAAACTTGACAAAATAGCAATGCTAAAGATATTGTCTTTTTTTGCTAATTCAAACTGAAATCAATTAGTAGTGTTTGCTTAGTTGATTTGCTAAAGCCAAACAAGAAGGGTTTTAGCCTTTTAGGTATTCATTTTCATATTGGTCCCTTTTGTCTGCACCTATTTCTTTCTATTTATAAAATCAATTTGTAATTTTACTACTATTGTTAATTAGGAAAACATCTTGATACCCTTATAAGCTTTTGCACATTGATTTAGTCTCTGATTTAATTAAGAGAACCGATAAGGAATAAAATCGTTGCTCTAGTAATAAAATTGTTATAGTTATCCATGAACGGATATATTGTCACATAATTTAAGAGCATTTATTTATTTTAATGTTTCTATAGAAAAACTGCAACATTTAAATGCTTCAAGTTTCTAATGGCCTAAGTATGAGTTCAATGGATAAAAAGCTAGTTCAGAATTCAATTTTCTTTACCCCTATCTTACAATAAAGTTTGGTTCAAATTTCCATCTCATCTATGTTTGGATCTTGCTATGTAAAATAAATGGGCTACTTGGTGAAGTCCTAATTACTCTACAAAAACCTATGCTTAGATGAACTAGCATAGGTTGTAGCTAATTAGAAACTGTGTGAATTCTTGAAGATTTAAAACACACATTACAATTTTTTTGTGCTCATTTTGGTGAATATATGTTGTTGTGCTGATTTTGGCTTTGAGAGTTCTACAATTGTACTATGCGACATATAATTTTGGTGTGATAAGTGAAAATACACCTCTTGTTATATTGATTATCAAATTAAACAAGACTAACAAACACTATAGAGACACAAAGAGAAGGATATTTTATGATAATTTATTTGTTTATTTATCTTTATGAATAAATCTGTAATGTGAAATTATAGAAACATGATGAGATCCAAACATTCAAATAATTAGAAACTAAAACTAAATTAGTAGGTCATGATCAGATCGTTATGAGCATAACATTTGATAGTATAAATAAATTCAAAAACAAAGAGCACAAATTTAAAAGAAACAATAATTAGATTATCTTATATCATATTCATGATTAAATAATATAAAAACACAATGGTGAAATATAGTTTTCATAATTTGCCATGATTGAACCTTAGAATTGTGCTTAAAGTGTTACATCCAAATTCCAAAGCGAATAAACCATCAACATCCCCATCAAGAACAGTCCAAATCAAGAACAATCCAAACCAATCAAGACCCAAAATCACCAATCATCAATAATTCCATTCCATAAAATCCCATCAAAGAGAGAAAAAAAAAAATACGCATCATCAAATCAAATTATCTTTAAATTGTATATAATCCATCAATCCTTATTAACACATATATTATTTTTTTCATTTATTCGAAATAAAAAAAAAAAAAACAAGAAAACCCCAAATCAGCCAACAGACCAATTCAAGATCAGCCCTTTGTCCTCTGGCACTTATCCTTGATCCACTGAAACCCGACGGAAGTGCCCTCCTTCACCTTCTTCACGCCGGTGGCCGCGGCCGCCTTCGTCTTCCCCAGACCTTCTCCGACCTTCTTCCCGTACTTCGCCGCCGCGCCTCCGCCTCCGCCGCCGCTGCCCCTCTTTTCCTCCGGTTGTGGGTTTTCTTGTGCGGTGTCCCATTGATCGGCCCACGATCTCCCGTCCATATTTTTTTTACTTCTGATTATACTTTTCTCGATCGAGGGTTTCTTGATTTATGGAGGTTTTTGGGGTATAGGGAATTTTGGCCAAGTTTGGATTTTGTGGAGATTTTCTTGAAAAGAATTGGAGATTTATATATTTCAATTTTCAACGCGTTGAATTGAAGGAAAAGTGGGGGAGTTGTATTGGAATTTAAATTACAAGAAAGCCCTTTTATGTAATGTACGTGATTTGAGAATTTTATTTGGGTAATTGTTTTGAATTTTGAGAATATTACTACTACGTAGCCCGTGCGATGTACGAGACATAAATATTAAATGAGTCATTTTCACAGAGTTTATCTGTTAAGTAGCTCGTGTGATTCACGAGAGATATTAAATGAGTGTACAATAAAGCTTGTCAGTTAAGGCTCAAAAAAATAATAGAGTTTGATCATCTATTTTTTTACCTCTTTCATCAACGTCATCTTTTCTGTCGAGACATTAAACCTGAGTCTGGTAGTGGTAGCGCTAGAGCGTAAATTAATTAATTGTTTATAATAATATAAATTTAATTTCATTATATATATATTTATTCTTTGATATAAGAAAAATAACAATTTTACGTAATCTTGTTCCTCGTATAATACTTATATTATTTTATTATAAAATTTATTGTAATAGCATGCTGACTCGTTTATATTATTATAAATAATATTTTAACATATATATTTATTTTTTAATACAAAATAATAATAATTTACATAATTTGGTTCATCATAATACTCAATTATTAATCTATCAAAAAATCTATTATCATATAATGTCATTATTATTTATAACACTTGTAGAAGTAATATATTTGTTATATAACGATAAATATGTAATGTATATTAATATTATTTAGTGATGTAATTAATTTAAAAAGATATAAGCAAATTTAATGTTTGGTAGGAATGTGATTATATGTAAGTTGAGATAAAATGAAATGTATCAAAAAAATCTGCTTATGATATTTTTCTTTAAATGTTTGAATGAATTTGAAATTCAAATTACAAATCAATCTCCAGTTATTCAAATAATTTTTAAAAAAACACCAATTGTAGTAAAATGTACGTGACAATATATTATAAATATACATGACGTCAGTAATGTTATGAATCTTTAAGTTCCTAAAATATATATTGTTTAGATATGAAACTAATTAACTTATATGTTAAGATAATATATATAAATATATGTATTGTACGTAATATACACGTGACAAGTTATTATATTTGTTTATATATTGTTTGTATATTTTTTTATATTATTTATTATATTTGTATATAAATATATTGTTTATATATTTGTTTGTATTGTACGACAAATTATTATATTTGTTTATATATTGTTTAAATATATATTGTTTATATATGAAACTAATTAACCTATATGTTAAGATAATATATATAAATATATGTTTTGTATGAAATCATTAACGTGTTTGTTAAATTTTTTCCCTAAAAAATTCAAAATATATTTAGGCATGTTTTGTTTGAAGTTTGAAATTCAAATATGCATCTATATAACAAATCTCATGATTTGTGGTAGCATTAATGCTACTTGATTTTTTATTTAAAAAAAACATACTAAAAATGGAATGCAATTAATATTCCCTATTTTTTGGCTTACTATTTTTGAAAAAGGTTAATTCTTATTATATATACTAGTAAAGAGCCCGTGCGATGCACGGGGTGCACAATTTTAAGGCTATTTATCCAGGCTTATAATTATATACATGAATAAAGAAAAATGTATGGGATATATATAGTACGTGATCCGTGCGAAGCACGGGATATATTTATTTGAAAAATATTATATTATAAGATGCAATATTCAATAAAAGTTTATAATACGAAAGAAAATTGTACAATGTTCAATAAAAGTTTTATAATATTCAAGTGGAGTTTTAAAGTCTTTTATACATTAAGACTACTGACAAAATAATATTTTAATCAATGAGTTTCTTTTCCTTGTAGCCAAATTGTGAATATGATTTGAGGAGTACAACAAATCGATATATAACTGACTTGCTTTTTTCATTGTAGTTTTTTTTTTTTTTTATAATGAATTTAAAGATATTCTAAAATATAGAAAAAATTAATTTTTTATTACAATGGAATATTGTTAAATAGTGTAGTAGAATTGTTATATAATAAAAATGGAATATTGTTAAATAGTGTAGTAGAATTGTTATAAAATTATATGATTTTTTTTTACAATATGGATTAATATTTTTTTATGATTTGATAATATAAACAAATCTATACTTAACTTTGACAAATAAAACAAATAAATACTTTAGTAAGTATTTAATGTATATACTAAATAGGAATATATTTGGTATAATTAAATACCAAATATAATCAAATAAGTCAAAGTAGACATTTTTATTTGGTATTTGATTTTTTTATTATTAAAATCTTTTTATTATTCTTACTTTTTTAAAATAAAACAAATAAATAAATCAATTAAATAAATAAAATATTATAATACTAAAATAGTAATGGTATTTAATGAAGTTGACTTTTCTGGATAGTAAATGTATTAAATAGAATCTCCTTTTATATAAATATAGATATGATATTATATTATGTTGCTCAGAATAGTAATGCATTTATTGCATTGACTTTTCAACTTACTAAATTTCGTTAATGGTACACCTTATTATTATATAAGTACTAGTACAGAACCCGTGCGATGCACGGAGTGCACAATTTTAAGGTTATTTATCCAGACTTATAATTATATACATGAATAAAGAAAAATGTACGGGATATATATAGTACGTGACCCGTGCGAAGCACAAGATATATTTATTTAGAGAATATTATATTATAAGATGCAATATTAATACACAAGAAAATTGTACAATGTTCAATAAAAGTTTTATAATATTCAAGTGGAGTCTTAAAGTCTCTTGTACATTAAGACTACTGACAAAATAATATTTTAATCAATGAGTTTCATTTCCTTGTAGCCAAATTGTGAATGTGATTTGAGGATACAACAAATCGATATATAGCTGACTTGATTTTTTCATTGTAGTGTTTTTTTTATAATGAATTTAAAGATATTCTAAAATATAGCAAAAATTAATTTTTTTATTACAATTAGGAATTTTACTAAACATAGACTCTCAATCTATGGTGTTAATCAACGTTTAAGTCTAAAAAATTAGGAATTTTTACCTCTTTTAATCAACGTTTAAGTCTAAAAAACAATAGAGTTATTACAAGTTTTTTTCTACATCTTTTAAAACATT